AGATCATTATAACGGGACAATAATTACCCCACGCGAGACTTCTCTAATGACCAGCGGGCACAGGTGAAAATAAGTGGCCGGATTAGAGGAGATAATTTGTACTAATTATGAGCAGTTCTTTAAATAGCGGCCGGTTTACAGAATAGGCAAGATCCGGATTGAACAACATTTATTAATATATTCGATCAGTGCATATTATCTATTCAAGATATATTACTAAAGTCAGGTACTCTTCACACAGTTGCTCCGACGAAAATAGTTCCATTCATGATCAGTAGATACAAGATTACAACAAATGTTAAGAATAATGATGTATATTTAATACGTTAAAAAAAAAACAAAATTAACGTAAAAAGATTTTAAGAAAATCATCTTTTCCCCGGAAAAGCAAATAAAAAGTTTTCATATTCCTACGCTCGCTGCCTCCTCAGTCTTTTTCCCGAAAATATATAGGTCATACTTCGATTGATAATGATAAATCTTTTCACCAGTTATATTACTGTCATTATTATTGTTCGTTCATTGCCTTATAATTTCTTTTGAATGGATATGTTAATCATTAACTGTGTGTTTTTTTCTCTCTTTCAATGAATAACGGAATGGTTATTATGGTTAAACACCTGCAATCGTAACCTCTCGGCAAAGCAATGTAATGTTCCGAGCTCGTCTGAAAGGATCTTCGCACGTGTGTAGACCTAGGCTATTTGGTCTTGCAAACACAGGTGTGTGCACCGCTAGAGACGCTTAGATCACGTAGACTGGGTATCAGTATTTGCTACGGAAATGAAGAAGTTTAGAACTATACACCAGTTTCATAAGAAGTGCAGGTTTTTTACTCAAGCCCTAAATTGGGCTAGAGGGGCTGAGTTATCTAAAACGAGACTAGGTCATCGATCTACTCAGTTTAAAAACACGAAAATATACTAAGTTTATCTTCAAAATTCTAAATCTATATTAAGTGTTAAATGTCGGATTCTTTCCTATGACGAAGGAATATTCAGTGATGCTCCATAGCCGCATCCGATCTCGCGCTTTCCTTTGCGTTTAACCACGGCCGTCAATGCATCTCTGGACAAGTTCATTGATTACAAGTTCATTCGTTCTAAAAGGTGACATGTTGACCATCTTTAACATCTGCCTATACTATGGGTGATAGTACTTTTTTGGCACAAAATTAAAAAATAAATTAAAATCTATCCTTGATAGATCTATAGTTTTGCTATTTAAAAAAAATGGGCTATCTTTGATAATCCATAACGACTTGAACTTGATTTGAATTTTTTTTTTTTTTTACAGAAGATTATATCATTGGAAAGTTAGATGGTACACATGTAGCACAGGCCAATATAGTACGCGGGATTTTTTTCGGAGCCCCCCCCCCCCCTTCACTTTGAAAACGTTGCTACAGGCCTGTAACATGCTATTTGGTTTAAATTTTCCTGAAAATGAACGAGGTGTTAAATACATTTTTAAAATTATACGATTAATTATATTTAGTCTATGTTCTATGTGAAATTAAAACTATTTTTAGCGACTTTGTGATAGTCACTACATGCATCTACATCTAACGTTATATATGAACATGCAGTTTGTTTCCTAGTACATGCATATTTTATTCAACAAAAGATGTTGAAACTCAGTAGCCTAAATATTTTGTCGTTTTAGGATATTTATGGCACTTTTATTATGACTTTCTACAGCTTGAGTATCTCTGACGTTTTGTCAGTAAATACTTGTTTTTTTATTAGAAATCATCTGAGCACAATGAAAATTCGAATAAATTAAAAGTCGAATATCTTGGATATGGGGTAACCCATATCTATTCTTGTTAAACATAAATTATAAAGAAAATTCAAGGGACTAAAGTATCACGCCGGACTGAACATCTGGATTCAACAAGTTTTACTGTATATGTTATTATGAATCACTTTAATGGGATTGTTGACTTTTAAATTTGGATGATTATAATTGATATGAATAACTCATGACACATTTTATCAGCATTTCTAAAGAACATTGATATTTAATTGAAGCATGCATTGAGTATTTAAAGTGAGTATATACATAGTTGATTTGAGTTACTGAGTTTCCCTAAAAATGACACAGATCACAAAGTCATTTGTCCTCTGGACAGTTGAAGTTCATTGGTGAATATTATCAATAAGCCCATGGATGAACAAAAAAAAAAAGGAAAAATTAACTCAAATTTAGCAAATTGGACAAGAACAAAAAATTTCATACCCCCCCTCCCCCCTTTTGAGAAAAGGGAACATACTAAGTTTACACCTGACTGGCAGTTGGTCTGTTGGTAAACCAAGTGTAGTCCAGTCAGTATTCCCTAAGGAGTAGATAGCCTCTATTGATTTTGAGATCACAAGTTGAAACTACTCTGGACACAGTAAAATATGGTCTCCTCAATATTTTGATAGCTCCTTGTTTTCAGTCTCAGTACACTGGTACCCCCTAAGGAGTATATGACCCCTATTGATTTTGAGGTCACGAGGTAAAGATATCTGCTCAATACATGTATCTTGAGAACCTTTTGCTTGAAAGAGATCAAACTTGGTACACTGGTACTCCCTATGGAGTAAATGACCCCTCTTTATTTGTAGGTCACAAGGTCAAATGTCAAGGGTCAAAAGGAACATCTTGAGAACCCTTCACCTGATAAAGATCAAACTTAGTATTTTGGTTGCCCCTTTCTAGTAGATAATCCATATTTTTCACTATCATAATAGTCATTCTTAATTTAAAGTTGATCTTTTTCATCCCTGCCACAATTGGGGCATATATGTTTCTTGTTTTCATATAAATGGGTCTTGGCTCCATTTCATTGCTGCAATATACCGGTATTTAAAATGAATGTACATGTATACATGAGTAAAAGTGTACAGTTTTTGTTCAACAAAAAATATTGAAGAAGAACCCACTATAAATTAAATAAATCACTTCAAATTAAAACAAAACAATTTTTAGCTCAGCTCGACGAAGTTGAGATGAGCTAATGCCATACCCCTGGCGTCGGCATTAGCGTCGGCGTCCCGGTTAAAGTTTTAGGAGCAAGTCCCATTCCCAAGTAACTATAAGCCCTACCTGGACCAAACTTGCATGGATGATGCATCTAGGGATGGACACTACCACACTTGCTTCAGATGCTGGATCTGACCTAGATTTTCCAGGTGATTGACCAAGCTAAAGTTTTTGGAGCAGGTCCATTCCCAAGGAATTATAAGCCCTCTCAGGACCAAACTTGCATGGATGATGCATCTAGGGATGGACACTACCACACTTGCTTCGGATGCTGGATCTGACCTAGATTTTCCAGATGATTGACCAGGTTAAAGTTTTTGGAGCAGGTCCATTCCCAAGTAACTATAAGCCCTACCTGGACCAGACTTGCATGGATGATGCATCAAAGGGATGGACACTACCATACTTGCTTCAGATGCTTGATCAGACCTCCATTTTCCAGATGAGTGACTAGTTTAAAGGTTTTGGAGCAGGTCTATTCCCAAGTGATTATTTAAGCCTTACCTTGACCAAACTTGCGTGGATAATGCATCTAGGGATGGACGCTACCACATTTGCTTCGGATGCTGGATCTGACCTAGATTTTCCAGATGAGTGACCAGGTTAAAGTTTTGGAACAGGTACCTAATTATCAGCTTACCTTGACCAAACTTGCATGGATGATGCATCTAGGGATGGACACTACCACACTTGCTTCAGATGCTTGATCTGACTTAGATTTTCCAGATGAGTGACCAGGTTAAAGTTTTTGGAGCAGGTCCATTCCCAAGAAATTATAAGCCTTACCTTGACCAAACTTGCATGGATGATGCATCTAGGGATGGACACTACCACACTTACTTCAGATGCTTGATCTGACCTAGATTTTCCAGATGAGTGACCAGGTTAAAGTTTTTGGAGCAGGTCCTTTCCCAAGAAATTATAAGCCTTACCTTGACCAAACTTGCATGGATGATGCATCTGGGGATAGATACTACTATACTTGTTTCGGAAGCTTGATCTGACCTAGATTTTCCAGATGAGTGACCAGGTTGAAGTTTTTGGAGCAGGTCCATTCCCAAGAAACTATAAGCCCTACCTGGACAAAATTTGCATGGATGATTCATCTAGGGATAGACACTATCATATTTGCTTCAGATGCTGGATCTGACCTAGATTTTCCAGATGAGTGACCAGGTTAAAGTTTTTGGAGCAGGTCCTTTCCCAAGAAATTATAAGCCTTACCTTGACCAAACTTGCATGGATGATGCATCTGGGGATAGATACTACTATACTTGTTTCGGAAGCTGGATCTGACCTAGATTTTCCAGATGAGTGACCAGGTTGAAGTTTTTGGAGCAGGTCCATTCCCAAGAAACTATAAGCCCTACCTGGACAAAATTTGCATGGATGATTCATCTAGGGATAGACACTATCATATTTGCTTCAGATGCTGGATCTGACCTAGATTTTCCAGATGAGTGACCAGGTTAAAGTTTTGGAACAGGTACCTAACTATCAGCTTACCTTGACCAAACTTGCATGGATGATGCATCTAGGGATGGACACTACCACACTTGCTTCAGATGCTTGATCTGACCTAGATTTTCCAGATGAGTGACGAGGTTAAAGTTTTTTGGAGCAGGTCCATGTAAGTCCTACCTGGACCAAAGTTGCATGGATGATGCATCTAGGGATGTACACTAACTAACCTGCTTCGGGTTCTGGATCTGACCTAGGTTTTCCACATGAGTGAATTTTAGCCATATTTTAACCAAATTAGCATGGATGATGATGTATCCAAAGATGGACACTTCCAGACTTGCTTTGGATTCTGAATCTAATATTGATGGATATTAATCTTGGGATGTACACTAACTAGGAAAAAAATATGATGTGAGATTTGCCTTCCTTATAGATAACATTCGTCGAGGTGAGCTTAGTAATCTTTGATTACCTTTGTTTATCAAAATATTTTGGTCTTTTCTTAGGGGGTGATGGTACAAACAGCCAAGAACAGACCACTAGTTCATCAGAGAGCGATTCCAGCAGCTCAGAACTTGAAGACCCAGCTGAAAGGTAGATGATTTATTCCTTATAAAGTCAAGGTGACACTTTATGAATCCTGGCCATTTAAGGTAAAAAAGTCATGAAAATAAGTATGTGTTTGATATTAGAAGATTGTGGATAACTTACCCAAAATTATAAAGAATAGAGTAGGCTAAGTCTGGTTTGGTCACCATGTCTTGCATGTATGGCATTAATTTAACATCTTTGGTCATGACTGATCAGTCCCAGTGTTTTGACACTACAGCCCGCTGATTTTCTAGCTATAGGCCAATGACAACTCGGTCTAAATATATTTATTTGATTAATATGTTCCCAATTGGTTATTTACGGTATCTCTTAACTATGATCATCAGTGTTTTCTGTATTTTTGACTACGTCAAGTATCTTCAGGATTTCAATCAACAAATATTTTTATTTCAATTAACGCTGATGTCGGACCTCTTACTATTTTTGTTATTCTCTTGCAGTTATTTCTCTTCAGAAATAGCATTTTAATTTTACTGAACAATACACTATGATATGAATTTATGTAATTCTTGTGAATTTTCCTTTGCACCCCACTTGATGTGTGACGCTAATCGATCATTAAAACTAATTGTTTGTTTGTTGTAGTCAGCATTCACATTGAAAACAGCATGTGCAGACTTTCCTAAGTTATGTAAATAATAAATGAAAATAGTAAATTATTATAAAAACAATAATAATGGAAATTCCTGTAATTCTGTTAATTAGGCTTGCTAATGACAGACTTTTGAATCTGAACCATTCCCAATCTATATATATCTCTATGCAGCTATTGGCACGTAAATTTTGCACAAATTCTTCAGTTTGTCAAGTATGAAAATTGCTTAGTAAGCATCAACTCTAAGAATTATTTGTACATTGAGAAATTAATCTAAACGGGAAAATGTATTTCAGACTTTTTTGAAAGCAAGTCAGCTATGTATTTATTTTTTTTTAATTTCTTGAATACAATGTGGCACAAGTAATGAAAAGTGAGTAATATTGAGTTATCGGTAGCTATACTAGTAAGAGTAGCCAATGATCTGCTGGGTGAAAAAAAGAATTTGGAATAAGATATTAAGGTCCTAAAACTCGAAATCATTCCAGAAAATTGAATTGTTAAGTGACTTGTTTTGGATCATCCTTCAAGGTCTAGTTGAAATGCAGCATATTTTAATTTTTTCTTTTATATCTAATAATTGATTAATCATAATTTAATCAATAATAATTAATCATTAATTATATCTAATAATTGAAGTGTTGAGTGTTCTTTAGTACATGTAAGTATCCGCTTTATTGGTTAAAAACCAATGCACATGTATATATAAATATATATGTACAGTGATTCTGAATGTCTTCAAAAATTCAAATGTGTCATTTTCTGTGCCATATTGTATAAAGTGAACACTTTTTACATAGAATGACTCTTAAAGGTTAAATTTGCCAATATATTGTCTGTCAAGAATCAATTAACACTGAAAAAGTCAACTGTATGTGATAATTTTTGTATCATTTATTCTGAATTAAAGAAATTTTTAAGGAAGTCTAAAGTAAAAATCAATATATACTTTCAGGTGTTAATTATAGTATGTATTTGTAATACATGTACACTATTTTGTGTGCCAGTGGTATAATAACTTATTTTATTGACCTACAGATATTATGCAGCCTTCCCTGCCTTACATGGAAAAGATCAACTCACCACACCCACAGACTCCCAAAGTGTATGGAAGAACAACCCAATTACCAAGCCAAAACCCAGCCAAACAGATGAAGGAATAATTCAGAAGGACCTAGCTCCAGAAAACCAACAAAGAGAGCAGATATCAACCCAAACCCAGTCCAGGAAAAAGAAAAAACAAACTGTCAGGAAACTGCACATGAGAAAAACACCATCCAAAAAGGAAGATACTAATCATGGAGTCTGTCGCTTCCTTAGCTTGCCAAATGGAAGTCTTAATATTGAAAAGACTGATGCCCAGGCCCATTCTTTACAGGACAAGGAGCTTTGCTCTCAAGTTGAGTGTATGCTGAAGGAAATCTTACTACAGAAGGAAGAACAGGCTTTGAAAACTCCAGCTTTTTGTAACCAAAAGATGCCTTGTCCTGAAGAGAAAATAAGAAAGCCAACAAATGCAGAAGGAGCAGAAATTGCTGCAGGAAATAGTCCAAGAGACACAGATGGGTCAGTAAGTCCAGAGCTGCAGGAGGATGACTCTTGGTACACTCAACCAATAGACATCTTGTTCACAACTGAGGAACCGCGTCAGCGTCTGTACAAACGAAACAACAGTAGTTCTGCCTCACCTCTCCAACAGAAGTCTGGTAGTAATAGTCCAGTTAGTCCAGATGGTGGTCTCATGCAGCAGTCTTTTGTGGATGACAATTTCTTTTTTCCATACTCCACTTCAAACTCCAGTGAAACTGGTTTTTCCAACACATTTTCTGCTGAACTGTCACATTCTATGTTTAACCAATCTGAGCCTGAAGCAATACCAAACCCAGACACAGTTTTGAATCCAGATGAGTGTGGGTTTCCTGTCTTCTCTCCATATGATAATCTTCCTCAAACAACACCTACAAGTGAGAAAGAGGAAAGCTTAATTGATAGGTGCTTGACAGACAGTTGCATGGAAAATAATATGCCCAACAGTGTAAGTTTAACAACTATCAGTGACCTGGAGGATTTAAACAAAGGAATTGAAGATTTGGAACTAGATGAGAGTTTGGCATCATCAGAAAATTTACTGGAGCATCAAGACATTGAACAAATTATAAATACTGCAAACCATCAAGATGTGAACTGCTGGAATAACAACTTGCAAAGTTTTGACAGTTTCCTTCCTTCAACTGTAGCATCAACTTGGCCATCAAAAGTTCTGGTGGATGATTTGATGCCAGATGTTTGCTGGGATGAAAGAAATGAAGATTACACCGCAGATTTTTACAATCATTTAAAGTATGGGAAGATCTGGCAAGTATGGGATGTGAATTATCAAAAGATTACTGGTACCTATTCTGGTCCTTTGAAGAATCCACTACACACTTGCTGGAGTGACTGTGGATTGTTTGGTATGTCTTCTTGCTGGGATTACCCTGGTGAACAGTCTGACATTTGGGGAAGCTATGGTTTATTTCCAAATTCTAGTACCTGGGGAGATTATGGGAAACTGAAAGATTCCTATGGAAAAGATTTGATAAAAGAGGACTTAAGCTTAGTGGAGACATCAGAAGATGTGGATCTGCTTGAAGACCCTTGTAATCCAATAGTAATGGTTGATGTGGATCAAGATTCTGTGGTTTGTCAGCTAGAGAACCAGAATAGTGAATTGATCCCCCAAATTCAGTTTGATCTTGTCTCTGAGGTTGGTAGTGAGTACGACAATGTTCTGTCAGATGGAGAAAATGATCAACTCAGTAACAGTGAAGATGATCAAAGTTTTTCTAGAAATCTCTCTTATGGTGATTTCCAGACAATGTGGTCCATGGCTGAGCATTCAACACCAAAGAAATTTTACCTGTCACGAAGCTTTGAACTGGTGCCCTCGGAGGGATCGGCATTTGTTGATGTTGTTCCAAAGAAGATTCACCATGTGCAAAGTGAGCCCATCCTAGTAAGCCAAGAGATGGAGTCATTGACCACAAGTTCAACTAGCAAAAAACGAAGTTGTAAGTCAGATTCCAGTTCACCTGAAGAACATCTGTACTTTTCTCAGAAGACTCACTTTCAACCCATTCAGTCCCCAGTTGTTCAGAATACTGGATCTACTTACAATTTGAGGGACTTGTTTGGTGGTTATGCTCCTTCGAAGACACCATACCAGAAATTCCAGACAGCTACAGACGATGAAGGTGATGATGATGAAGAAACTTTTGTTCCAATGTTCAAGATTCGAAAGGATCAGGATAAGTACATACAGACAGGTGCAAGTTTGGATAGTGATGATGAGAAAGAGCCAAAAGAGGGAAGTGAAGAAAAAATTGGTCTGTTTGAAAATGAAGGAGAGGTCTTTGATCTATTTGGATATGTTGAAAATTTGACTGAATCCTCAGAATCAACACCGAGAAATCTTTTGGATTGTGTCAACAACTGTGTAGATTCAGGGTATGAGGATTTAGATCAGCATGCTCAAGAGAGAGAAGAAGCAGAGAGGGTTGGTTTTTATAGAGGTCCTACAGTGAATAAGAAGGTGGATCCATGGTCTATGGAATATGGATTTTATCCAAAGCAGAACATGTGCTCATGTGGGGAGTTGGCTAATGAGGAAAATTGGTTGTCAAATGTGTGCAGGGATTTAAGCACAGGAAACTCGCTGCTTGATTATTCAAAACAGAATGTATGTTCTTGTGGCAAAAGGCTGGTGGTCAGAGATGGGAAGACAAACACCCGCAGGGATGCTACTGTCTCCAAACCACCTGTCCATCAATGGGTCATTCAGGAGGCCTGGGGACTGGATCCTGGGAGTGAAGGTCAACAAGAGGCAGCCTTAAGTCACAGTATTTGGAGCAGTGGGCATGAAGACGGAGCATTTTCTGAAATGTTCTACTACCCAGGACATGAGGAAGAATCTGCTACAGAACAGTACAAGCTGGATGACAATTCTGCTTCCAAGCTGGATGACCATTCTGAAGAAAATGAAAACAGTGTCTTTGATTTTAACCAGGATATGGTCCATGAGGAGAAGGAAAGCAAGTACAAAATTGGCAATATGAAGAAAACTGACCAGTCTAATTCATACATAGCAGATTCTGATCCATACGGCCAATCGTTTATGGAGATGACCTCTTACTTTGGAGATGGTATTTCAGATGCTAGCAAGGCCAGACCTGATCAACAATGTGCTGGTCAACTAGATAAAGAGAATCATCCACCAGAGAATGACTCTGACATTGTCAAAGTCAAACTGGTCATCAAAAAGGGAAAGAAGAAACAGGACTTTGAGAATTTGGACACTCATGTAAGTTCCTGTTCTCTTATTACTTTATCAATTTCTGAAGATTTATAATTAGATTTTGTCACGTATTTTGAACTTCATCTCTTTTATCATTTTGCAGCCACCTCTGTTTATGCCCATGCCTGTGGCTGCTGTGTACTCGTGTGAGTTGGAGCATGCCTGGATGAATAACATGGAGGTGGAATGTCTCTTCCCACAGTCCTTAAATGTGAAAGGTAAAAGAATATATAGAATTTTTGAAGTCAGAATTTTGAGGACAGAAGGTTTCGATTTCTTAAACATTTGATGTAATGATAATACATGTTCTTTTGCATAATTACAGGAAAGAAAAAGCCCTGTACCTTTTTCTTGGAAGGAAACTGTCGACGTACAGACTGCAAATTTGCTCATGATCTGTCCCACATTACCTGTCGCTTTTGGGAGGAAGGAGACTGTTTTAAGGGAGAGTTATGTCCCTTCCTTCATGGATACAGTCCATATGCAAGGTAAATACAAATTTTTTGTAAGTTAAATATGAATTACTGGCAGAAATGAACTGACCAATGATGTAGAAAAAGATACTATTGGATTTGACGTGTCTCTTTAAGGAAATCAAAACAACATGCATCTGAAAGGAGAGATTTGAAGCCATTCAAGTATCAAGCAGAAGATTTCCCCAACTTGACAAAAACTGAATCTAAGGTACTGTGCCTTTTTCTCATTTAGTGAAAATGAGAAAAATTACATTTATGGTAATTGTTAAGAGAAATGTCAACTTTTGTTTTTGATTTGTTTTCAGGGAGACAGATGTAAAAAAGACAAGTACAACAAACTGAATAAATACAAAGCCTCTAAGACTCAGCTGAGGACACAGATAAATAAAAAACTACAAAAGAATAATGTTGTACAAGAGGAGGCAGAAAACCTTCCCAAGAAACTGAAACAAAAGGGCTCGCAGTAAAATATTCCAGAGAGGTGAAATAAGGGGGCCCTCATATTAGAGGAGCACCTGGAGGATGTGAAAAGTTGACCCAGTTTAATGGAAGTGTCCCCCTAGTGGGTACTCCCATTAAAGTGCGGGCTTGTGTAGAATCTAGTCAGGAGTATTAAATTTGTAGATGGAGACTAGGCATCTTTTGTTTCATTTCGAAATGAAAATAATTTGTGTTAGTATTCTGCACATCTTTATTATGAGTTACCTAGTGTCATGGTTTATCATAAAAATTATTTCATTTTTTCCCTCTCTCTCTCAGAGGTTTAGACATGGGTGTGTAAATTTTTTAAAATTTGTTTTGCAATACTAATAAGTAAAACTGACAGTTTTTCATAACAAATATCTCATTCATGGCCTCCTAAGAGTCTGTTTTGCGAATACCACTATATACAAGGGAATTTGATGTATAAATTACCTGTTTTGAAATTCTAAGGACTATAAAAATTGAATGACACAATGAAGGTTTTGATAAAATAAATTAGAATATAGTTTTGATAATTATACATTATTTAAGAGGATTTTTCAAATTTGGTATTCATTAATGCATCAGTCCTCTGATATTTTCAATAATTTTAGATGTGATCGTAATTTTTATTATTATTATTTTTTTAAAAGTTCTGGGAAATTCAAGATTTAGAATATAAAAAAATGTCTACACGTTGAATCCTCTAAAATCCAGTAAAGTTCATGTATTTGCCAAGATTAATATGTAGAAATGTGTTGTATTTGATAAGCTAATGTCATGTTCTATAATTATTATATAAGGAAGATAATTTGGTAGACAAACATGGTATGAAAAATACAGTTCTTTATATATACATTGTATATAGAAATCCCTGTCACATTTGTTTTTAATGGGATGAGAACAAAGAAAATGGCCCATGTGTGAAAGGTTGCTGATATAAAATAAAACTTTTTAAAAAAAATTGTGTAGGGAAGTGAAGAAAGAAAACTCAAAATTAAGCAATTGTGTGAATGTTTAATAAAAGAGGATGTGATTCGGTAAAAATTTGTTTAAAAGTCAGCAGCAGAATGCATGTGTAATGATGTATGAATGTGTGAGGATGAAAATTGATTTGCCTGAAATGGCCACAAGATCCTGAAAGATGCGTGAGTGATGATAGGTTTGATTAAAAAGATTTAAATACATGTAAAACAAATATCAATGCATATGTTAATACTATATACAATGTAATTGAATTTGCATAAGATTTTTATATGAAATTGAAAAACAAAAACCTCAGCCAAAGAAAATCCCTCTCTCCTTCAAACTGAGGAAGAATATAAGGATATGAAGGGTGTTCTGTTTCTTCAGATTTACAATTTGATTGATGAAATTATTTTGTACTTCTCTAGAAATTAGCCATCGTCAAAGCAACAGTAAACAAAAACTATGTCCGGTTGGTGTGTAAATGATAAAATCAATTTTTTATGTCCAGAGATATGAGTAATAAATGAATGATTGCTTGACAAGTGGAAGTGAAAAGTGTTGGGAGGAGAAAGGGCCTTAAGTCTACCATCATTGTATTTACAGACTTGTGAAATAGAAAATGATACAGCAGAAAGGCTGTACACACATGAAATGATAAAACGTGTATGATACATAACGTATCAAATTTATGTAGAAGAGTCGATCACAAGTTTATTTTTTTTTTTTTCAGTAATAATCTGTACAGATTGTTTACATGCCATTTAGAGGGAAGTAATTGATGATTGATTGCCTATTGTATAAATGTTTGATATTTGTGAGGCAATTAAGCTGATCTTGAGCTCGAATTTGTCCAGCGTTCAGCAAAAATGGAACTATACTCACTAAAAGCTAAACACAAAAGCAATTCCTACCAGCAAATGCACATTATTTTTGGGTGTTTGTTTGAGTTGGCTAGAGAACTTTAAGTATAGCAAGTACATTGTACATTATCAGTAATGTTGGACAGACAAATTAAAGTAATGTAGATGCTTTTTGATGCAGTCGACTTGCCAAACTTATAATTTTAATCAGCAAGTATGTCTTGATTATGAAATTCATGAGAAATAAGGAAAAACTAAATGGTGAATATTTTGTATGCATATATATTGTAATCAGAATACTTTGAAATTTTGGAAGTCAAATGTTGCAAATAACTCATAAAGATGTTCATAAATCATTTAAGATAAAAGATAAAACATGGAAGAAAATGAATTTTAAACTACAGGGGTATACGTAAGTCTTTTCTTAGTTTGGTATCTTGTTATTTTCGACACCCATTAGATCCCAAGCTTGAGTGTGAAATCTATAGATAAGTGATTTAAAAATATTTTGTAAGAAGGGTATTAAGTGATTTAAAAATATTTTGTAAGAAGGGTATTTTTTTTTTTTAACTTTACAGATTGATCAACCAGATTTATATGGCAGTAGATGTTTCTTGGTTATTGTGCTGGGTATTAGAAAATATATTAAGGACCCTCTATATATTATTTAATGGATTTTTTTTTTTAAAGACATTTAGAAAATTATTTGTTATAAAGGTGTAAAAATTGAGTGTATTTCATTTTCAACATGGATACCTGCCATTGATCCCCAAGAAAAATGTTCAAAGACGAGAAAATTTTGATAAACAGAAATCACTTAAATGAGGAAAATCATGCAAATGTGCTTAATTAAGTCATTTTGGCCCACTAAAATGTTAAGAATGCTTGAATTGATAAGAAATTGAGTTATCCACAATTTTTTTTTTTTTTTTTTTATCTAAAGGCAGATCACTCTAGCTGTACCACAGAATTGGAACTCTATAGTTTGCAGTGTTCAAAGGGTTCTTGACACAGTGAAATAAAAAAAATCTTGGTTCGTTGCGCATGATTAGGTGAGGGAATGTTTTTAGGTATCTGTCCACAGATTTGTTCTGGTGTAACATTTACACATTTTCAGTATGCCATATACCCAACAGAATGAAATGCTTATATTTCTTGTCATTTATTTATGGGGAATATAGTCTCAGATTACCAGACTAAGTTAATCTGTAAAATCAGTTATAATTTACAGTGATGAACAATTGATACTAATATGTATTCTGATTTGCTTAGTCTATGCATATGTTGTGTAGATAATCACAATACTGCATCATTGAAGGTTCCACTTTTATTCATGTTAAAAAAATATTCATATTTATGTTTTTAGTGTGTCTGGCTACCTTATGAGATGCATGTCATAAACCCTTATTTTCAGTTTTCATCAAAGAACATTTTGATTTATGTCATCTGGGATATTATACTCCATTGACATGTTCATGTAATATCATTTTGCATATGTGAGATTTTCTCAGTTTGCAAAGCAAAAATTGTTTTTAAAAAAAATTTAAAGAAAATTCATTTCATTATTTATTACAATTCATATTCAAAATCTACCATTTTCCCTTCATTTCTTTTGCAATAATTGCATTTTCAGTCAAGAATTTAACAATTCTTGACTGTCCATGTCAATTATCTCCCTTTCTTTCATTCCATCTTTTTAGAAAAATAAAACTATTTATTTTAATGAGTACATGTATATGAATATAAACTGTTTGACTAAAGTTCTTCAAAGTTGAACATTGAATTATTTTTTAGTTTATTTAGATATTTAAGACACTAATGATTAAAGAAAAGAATTTCTATGCATTTTTGAAAAAAAATCTGAAATGTTAAATATATTGGTGATTATACCTCATTTTGATAAAGCTTTTGTACTAATAATTTTAAATGATAACTTTTCATTAAATCATTTATTTTGAGATACAGTGTATATAGCTACTGGTTTGTCAATTCTAATTCAGGCTTTTTGTTGAGAATTCTAGTATTGTAGTATTATAGTGATGAGCTAAAACCACCAGCATCATCTAAACAGGAGAGCTGTATACACTGTACCTAAGCTTAATTGTTTTATTTGTGGAAAGCTAGAACAATTTACTGCAAAGTACTTAGCTGAATGTTGTATTAATAGAATTGATTTTCCAAGTAAGGGGGAAGACCCCTAAAAGAACATAAAGTTTTTTAAAAATGAAAATCTACATTACTGAATTGGGTAATTAAAGATCTTAGAGAATTTTTATGGCTTATTTTACCACCACAGGCCATATGTTTTGACTGAGTAGATATTTGTTTGAAATATTTCTTTGTGGTGTGTGTTGCCTTTACAGAGATTCTGAGATGCAATGATCCCAGAATGTCGGTGTAAAAATGTTTGAAAGTATACATCACTGTTTGGGTAAAGATGAATACTGTACATCATCTAAGGATTATCTTTACTGAAATAAAGTTTATGGAAATGAGGTGATGTCTCCTTCTTTTCTTATTAACTGGAACTATCAGACTATATTTGTGCTTTTATGTGACATCGTTACATTATGAATGATTGGAATTGAGATAGTTACATGTACATTTGAAAGAAGAAAGTCGCTAATTTTGTAAAGTTTGAAAGTTGTCAAAATTGAAATATACGTTACAAAAATCTTTATACACTCCATCCCCTGCAAATAAAGGAGGGGGGGGGGCAGGAAAATAGGATTTGCTTTGTCTGTCTGTCTGTGTAATTGTGTTCATACCTTGACTTTGTAATGGAAAAAAATTAGATCATGCTTTACAGAATTTGCTTGTAACTTTATGTTCTTACCATGACTCAGTCATTTGGGCAAGTTCAAGGTCACTATCAGAAAAAGTCTGGTCCATAATTAGATCTTCTGAGCCAAAGGCGCAAAGAGCTAATGCTATGGCCATTTGTGTGATGTTCGTAAACTTTTAGAATATGGGCCATATCTCAAGAACTCCTTGGCCAATTGTCGGATTTGTCACAGGTTATCCTTGGCCCAAAGGCTCCCATTTTTACTAAAACTAGGGTTGTGACCTTTAAACAAGGGGAGATAATAAGGTAAATAAAACCAAAAGTACTGGTTGCTAAAAAATCTCAGTTCATCACCAAGGATGAGGATATGTTGTAGATTAAATATTGTTCAAGGCATCACCCTGAGGCAAAGGGCGTGGTCTCAAGGTCACTTCAAAGTTGACCAAAAATTACATTTTATTAAAATGCTGATATTTTGCTTACTATAAGGACTAGGATCATCAAATCTTCTAAGGACCTCGTATCATGTTAAATCAAAAGCAGGTCATGGTGACCTACTTTTTAAATTTTGCGGCCATTCTTTTTCAAAATGATTGAGAGGCATATTTTGAACAATTTGATCATCAAATTTTGTCAGTTGATGCATCTTGGGTCCTTGGAGTACGTCAGCTAAAAAGTGGGTCACCTTGACCTATTTTTGAATTTTATGGCTAATCTTTTTCAAAACATTTAAGGTCATGAATTCGAATACTGAGACGTTTAGAATCATTAAATCTTGTAAGATGACAAATCTTGGGGCCATAAAACATATTTATTAAAAAGTAGGTCACCTTGATCTACTTTTTGAAGTTTGCAGGTAATTGATTTCAAAGCGTTTCAGAGGCATATTTTGAACATTTTAAGGCCCATGATCATAAAGCTTTAAGTTGATGCATCTTGGGAACTCAAAAAACGTCAACTGAAAAGTAGGTCACGTGACCTTCTTTTGAAATTTTATGGCTATATTTAAATATTTTGGGTACCATTTGGCTTAGAATCATCAAACTTTGTCAGTTGATGTATCTTGAGTCCTCAGAGTAGGTTGACTGAAAAGTAGGTCATCATGACCTACTTTTCAATTTATATGACTATAATGAAATATTTTGGGTACTAATTGGCTTAGAATCATCAAATTTGGTCAGTTGATGCACCTTGGGTCCTCTGAGTAAGTTGACTGAAAAGTAGGTCACTGTGACCTACTTTTGAAATTTAATTTCTTTATTTAAAAATATTTAGGTACTAATTGGCTTAGAATCATCAAACTTTGTCAGTTGATGCATCTTGGGTCCGCATATTCAGTCGACTGAAAAGTAAGTCACTTGACCTATTTTTGAAATTTTATGGCTTTATTTACATATACCAGGTTCTAATTGGCTTAGAATCATCAAACTTTGTCAGTTGATGCATTCTGGTCCTTGGAGTATGTTGACTTTAATGTAGGTAACACTTACCTACTCTTGGAATTTTATGGCTATAGTTAAATATTTTTTGGGTATTAATTTGCTTAGAGTCATCAATCTTTGTTGGTTGATGCATCTTGGATGCTTGGAGTATGTTGACTGAAAAGTAGGTCACTGTGACCTCATATAAATATTTTTCAGGTACCAATTGGCTTAGAATCATCAAACTTTGTCAGTTGATTCATCTTGGGTCATCAAATTATGTCAACTGAAAAGTAGGTCAACATGACCTACTTTTGAAATTTTATGGCTTTATATAAATATTTCAGGTACTATTTGGCCAAGAATGATCAAACTTAGTTGATGCATCTTGGGTCCTTAGAGAATGACAAGTGATAAGTAGGTCACCATGACCTACTCTCAGATACTAATTGGCTTAAAATCATCTTGGGTTCTCAGAATGTTTTATCTAAAATGTAGGTCATGATGACCTACCTTTGGAATTTCAAGGCTTTATCTAAATACTGTATACAGGATACTAATTATAAGAGGCTTCAAATAGAAGTGATAGGTTGTACAGTTTATCAGAGGAGCGATTCAAGTCCCTTGGGCCTCTTGTTTTCTAATGCAGAGACATTGATAGTTCTTACTTCAAACAAAGAGTACTTTTTAATGAGGATATGTCATGACCTTGAACCAAGATTATCTGGTCAAGGTCGATGTCATTTGAGCATGTTCAGTGTCACTGGCAGAAGAAGAGGATAATTCCTGTGCCGGTTTATAACTTTCTAAGTTGTTAGAACTTGTAACCAATCTCTTTGTATTTAACTGTCTAGTGAAGTTCATACTTTACACATTTAATTGGTGATATATCAGTGTTATCAGCTGTTTTTCTTTTGTTACTTCATTGAATAATGAATGGTTCTTGCTTTAAAGACAATGTAGCTTTAAAGGAAATATGGCGAAGCAAAGGATAACAATTCAAAAAGTGTTCAAAGAACAATTCTCTCTTCTTAGCATCGCTTCTGTAATAATTATTTTGATTGGAACGCTGATTTTAATTAAAGACTCCCTGGACTTAGTGAACTTTTGATCCATATCCTCATTCTCTATCCAGAGTTGTCGTTCCTGCTACGCTCCCAAATATACTTGTTGGGATCGACTCTGGATAGAGAATGCCATTTCCTTTGCATTGATTGATCAAATTAGTTAAAGATACGTTTTGATAACGAAAACTCCTCCTTTTTGGCATCAATATAGTCTGAGGCAATTTGAAAACATCCCGTGTTTCGATCCCTTTGAAGTTGTATATACAATCTAGTTAAGTTGCAGTCAGTTTTACTATATTTATCGAAACTTTTCGTCTGTTATTTTTATTTTTGTACAGAGGGAATAAAATGTTTTCTTTTTTTTTTTTACTTCCGAGTATATGCACGCAAGGCGTGCTTAATCGTGGGAGCAAATAAATTATCACAAATACAGGTTGAATAGGTGACTTAATCAAATAGGTGATGTAACTTTTTTTGAATAGATGATATTCTAAATTTCAAATAAGTAATATCACCCATTCAGATATACTTAGTTGATGGTATCCCTCAATGACAGTAATTTTAAAATGGTCAATCATAGGTCCAATCCATATGCCTAAACCAATAGTCAAAGATCCAGTTTTATTGTCACTTTCGATGATTTTTTTTTTAACAAGTGATGAAAAACAATGCTCAATATTTCAGTATAGTCATCAAGATCAATTGTAAATGAAAAGTGAATATTAAAATTCTTGATTACATTATGTCCGTTGGGAAATCAGTGAGGTAATTTTAATTATTTTGGAATAGAATTTTTTAAATTAAGTTCCTCCTCCTTTCCGCCTACAAATGAGAAAGTGTGTTGACCACAGGGAACTTGATACCTGCAGTCCAACACACACAGACACGCGTGCACGAAGCTATTTCATATACAGGACATAATATATATAATGATATACTCAACTCTTGCTCCTTTTTTTTCCAATTTGAGAGGTAGGAAAAGGGACAAAATATTATGAAGAGGTGAGAGGCTACATATTGTGTTATTGTTATCGACTACAATATGCACCTACCCTACCTGCCTATCCATTTGAAGGGACATTTTTAAAGACATCTTTTTAGCTACCTACAATTGCAGTAAAAATTGACTAGATTAACTTATCTTTTAAAATATTTCTTTTGAAAAGGCGTTTACAAAATGGACTGGAACTCATTTTGATGTTAGAGTACATGTAATGACGGAAGGTCTTGGAACTGGACATATACAGGATCGTAGTACCTGAGAGACTCGCCCCCTTTTATGAGAATAGTCTTTTGCTGTAAAGGATGACTGCACTTAAGGACATGCGAAATTTGCGACAAAATAAACTTCCAAAAAAAGCGTTTTTCTTTTAATTGCAAGGATGGTCAGCATCCAATTTACAACTTTATGTAATTACATTAAATAAAAATGTGTATTTACGAAGTTCGAATCTGTTTTCAAAG